TCATCTTGGAATCTGTTATGTGAGTGATTCCATGAGGAAACGGGTGGAGTTGGGGGAGTGAGAATGTATGAGGTCACTTTAAGCCAGACCAGTGGGGTCAACTCACTGCGGAGAAAGAGGGAGCAGAGGGCTGGGGCTGGAAGGGCAAGAGCCAGATAACCTGGTGCTCTCAGTGGAGGAGCAGCCGGAAAGGCCAGGACCTGCAGGGGGCCCGGAGCCTCTCCCGAGGCTCCTACCCTGGGGCAGTGCAGACCGAGGGCAGTGCGTAGGCCTCGGCTGCACACTGGGAACTGTTTGGGCTTCACAGTTCACCTCTGGAATGTTTTCGTCAGCCTTTCCTAGTGCGGGCCCCAAGCAGCGTGTCCTGTAAGAAGACTGCACGTCTGCGTCCAGCCTACATGGAAGGGCTTTGCCTTCCTGCGGGTGATCTCAAGGCTGCACCAGGAACAGGGAGGAACTGTTAGAGGGAGCCTGATCTCACTGAGGCCTCTTCCAGTACAGGAGGCAAGGGTGGGGCAGGCTTCCCCAAGAGGCAGTGTGCTCCCCCTGTGGGTAGGTGACTAAGGGGGCTGAGGGAAGGCTGGGGCCCCCTGGCTGGAAGGAGATTACAGGGAGAAGGGGGTCCTTGCAGTCCATTGCCAACCCTGGGAGCTACCCTTTTTGGTCCAAGCCGGTTGCCATGTGCCCTTGTGGATGGAAAGCATTGACACTGAGCTGTCCTCCTGAGCCCGATTGCTGCTTTATGGGAAGGTTCTGCCCAGCGTCCCTCCATCCCACCTTAAGATTTATGGACGCTGCCATTTATCCACCACCTGGTCACACCGTTGGGTGCCATTTGACAGGGGACAGGGCCCAGGGAGGACAGAAGGTATGCCAGTCCTAAATGTGAGCGCACTGGTAACCCTTCGGCCGGGAGGCTCCCTCTCTAATTTGAGAGGCACTCAGGGATTCTGCACAAACCTTGAACTCATCTCCCAGATGCCATGGGCCAAGCCCATTACCGACGCTGCGGCCCGTAATTTGAGGCCCTGAGTTTTAGTTTGTAGCAGCTGGAGGCAGGGAAAGGGAATTGCTCTGTGACTCATGAAGTCACATAGGCAGAACCACAAATAAGGGACTTCAGTTGGCAGAAACCAAATTGCTTCCAGGCTATTCTTGGACACTAAAGCATCACATCTTGTTTCTTCCCAGAAAATGCAGAAACCTTTCATATTTTTGGGTAGCTGGCTTTATTTATATTTCCTATCAAACTCCAAAAGGCAACAGCTGGGTGGTGGTTGACAAGGAAGACTTTAACAAGAGTTATTACCCAAGGTCCCCTGATTTAACTCATCCTGGACCTTTTCCTTTTGGGGAAGGAGAGAGGTAGTTACCAAAAGTTCATACTCCAGTTTCTGGAAGAAAAGGCTTGAAGCTCGGACTCAGATTCAGCCTTTCCATGGCAATAAAACCACCTTGCGCCATGTGTGTTTTCAGTTCATTACCCAGCCTTCCTCATTTGAGGCTCCCCACTGTATATATGGGGAACTTAAAACTCAGAATTAAGTGAGGTGTCCAAGGAAATGCAGATAGGAAGTAGATTTGAACTGAATTAGAAGCCCACAACTTCTGGTTTTAAAGTACATAGTTCCTTGGCGTGGGAAGCTAGTCCCAGTGGGGATCCATTGTGTTCCTTTTTCTCTTTCTTTTGCTTTGATATGGTTTGGGCCATTTGAAGACTGGAAATGAGCGCTGTTTATCAGGTAGCCATCAGGTGCCGAATACATCACCGACATGGTCTAATTTAATCCTTGCAACCCTGTGAAGTGAGTATTATTATCCCCACTTCACAGATGAGAAAACAGGCTGAGATAGATTAGATAACTTTGCCTGAGGTCACCCAGCTGACAAGTACCTGTGACCAGATCTACGCCACATTTGCCAGATTCTACATATTCTGATGTTCTTTTCTGAGAGCCATTTTTAAGACCTTTGCCTTAAATTGGAAAACCGATTTTAGAAGTTGAGCCTAGACCCTATAGCTGCAATCCAGGGAGGCAGGTCCGAGCCTGGTACGGGCCGTGGGGTACAGTCCAAGGCAGCGTTTATCTTCTGCTGTCTGGCTGTCTCCCTCCACCTCCCTTATCTCACTCCAGATAAGAGCCAGTTCCTGGAGCTCCCACGCCCACCCAGCGCCCTCAGCACCACCTTTGGCTCTTTCTACCCAGGCCTACGATTAAGCTGTTCATTATTCTTTTGTGGGGAGGAGAAGGGGCAGCAGGGGTTGGGAGGAGACAGGTTCTTCCAGTTTGTCAATGATTCTCTGGCAACCAGGGCTGGCTCGATGCCTCTGAAAGCTTCAACATTTTAGACGAGGAGGAGCTGGCAACTTGGAGACTGATTTACAGAACGATTTCTCAAACTGGTGCATTTCCCAGATACAAGCCCGGCCCGTGTAATGGGTGCCGCACACATTTGCATGTCTGCCGAGTGCTTCCCAGAGCCAGGCTCTGCTGTCGCCTGTGCGTCCTGCCCCTCACAGCCACCCTAGAGTGCAGGCTGTCACCTGTCTCATACAAAAGAAACAGGCTCAGGAGTTCTGTGGCTTGTGTGCGGCCAGGTGGGCAGTGAGGGGCCAGGCTGAGCTTGGGGCTCGGGCGCTAAGCCACCCAGAGCCCAGGGATTTTTCTTCACCACCTGCCCACCCTCGGAAAGGACTGCAGGATACCAGTCCAGTTCAAGTCCTTTTGTATCGGTCAGTCAGCAGTGACATCCTTTGTTCAGTCTGGGCAGAGGAATGGTTCCAGAGATAAAGACTGAGGAATCATACTCCTGAAAAGCAAATAAGTCCTGCTCCCTGTTTATGCTCTCTGGGTGGCAAGTGTTGGAGGGGGGGGAGTTGAAACACAGAAGGAAGCAGTGTTTACGTGAGTGATGCCAAAGTGAGCATTGTGGACACTGATGAAGTCGGGAGAGCATCTGTGAGCGGCTCCGTGTCCAGTGCCAGGCGAGCTCCGAGCCAGCTTTCCAAGTCCGTGGAGTTTGTTGAGTTGCGGGGCTGGAGCAGCCTGGTTAGTTCTGGAGGAGGAGGCCTGGCTGAGGAGTGGACATTGGCTAGGCCTGGAACAGGGACTGTGCCGTCTCCCTTCAGCAGAGCATGGTGCCAGCACGCTGGGGCTCTTGGGAGAAAGGGGGGAGGGAGTGCGGGGTCCTGTTCTGCTGCCGGTGCCCCCTCACCTGTCAGCACCTGGGTGTCTGGTCTGGACAGCCTGTCTGTCCCCAGCAGGCTGCCGTGCAGGCTCACGGGGAGCTCTCCCCTTGCTCTCCCTACTGCCTTCCTCACTGTCACCGGGCAGCCCCCAGCTGCCTCCTTCTCCAGTCCACCGTCGCCGCCCATCTTCCCGAAGACGTGTCCCAGCTGCTGCTTTATCTCCTGCACCCCAGAGCCCACTGGAGAAACCAGTCCCTCCACGGTCTGCCGTGAGTGTCCCCGCCACACCTCGTCACGAGTCCTGGACTCCCAGAGCGTTGAACCCGCGGTCGTTCCACCGCTGTACTGGCTCTGTCCAGACTCACACCTTTGTATGGTGATTCCATTGACTGAAACATCCATTCCAGTGTTCTAGTAAAATCCACCCCATTCCGAAAAGTGCAGTATTTTGGCATTTTCCTCTTGGGGCTCCTCTGGCCCTGTGGGCCACCCCCTGCTCTGGGCCTGCACGCACTGTGTTCATATCTACAAGGGCTTGCCCATTGTCTTGTAATCCACTCTTCGTGTGCCTGCCTCCCTCGCTAGGCCCCGGACCCCAGCGCCTAGGCTGATGCCTGGCTCTTGCTAAGTAATTGTCGCTGAATGAATGAGTAAAGGATTAAGGGAGAGGATAAACATCGTGCTCTCTCTGCTTTTAGTGTTACAAAGCCAGCCCGCAATCCAAATGCACCCATGATGGCGTTCCCATCTGGAGAGCGGGAAGTCGCCCAGTCTGAGTGCCTTGTTGCTGTGTTTGCTGACCTCCTCCTGCCAGGCCTCCGCACGGGGGGCGGGGGGCTCAGTGTGCTGTATCCTCTCATTGACAGACCCCTCCAGCTCTCCTGACAGCTGGTCCAGCCCCAGCTCCTCCCTGCTTGTCTTCTTGCACTAGCTTTGGATTCTGGAAAAAGAGCTAGCCCTTTGGAAAATCAGCTCTAATTTATTTTTGTTCCTTTGAAACTTAAATGACTTTCCCAAGAAATGCCTGAGGCGAGAGTGGTGCAGAGAGAAAGGGCGAGGGCCCAAACCCAGCCAAGCTATGTTTGTGACGGGAACGAACCCCCGTCGCATTTCCCTGCTGTCAGCCTAAGCACTTGTTGGGAAGAGCTCACCGTTGGGCTCACAGAGCACAGGCTCCTCTCGTGTGTCAGGAGACCCACATGGCTCTGTCTTTCTCTGACGGAGGTAGATGCTGTGGTTCCGGCAGATTCCGGGGTAGAGAGGTTTTGAGACTTTGCTATTGTCTGCGCCGGAGAAAGGCCTGCCCTCTGGTAACGACGACGACTTAAAGATTGATGTCTAATGATAGACGAGATGGTCATGGAACCTAGGAAGGCCTGTGCTTGGACTTTTTTGGCCTGTGTACTAATGCCACGTGGCCGGGTTGCTTTGTGTTAGTCAACCAATTTGCAGCAAGAATCATAAGATTTTAATGGTGATAAAGCTAGAGCGCTTTTTCTATGCTTTTCCTTTTACGAGTTCCTATTTCTAGAACCATCTGGCTCACAGACAGTGGACCAGGTAATGTTGACATCAGCCAGGGCACAGCGGAGCTGCCTGTGGGTCTCGCCAGCCAGTGGGAGGACTGGGGAGAAGAGATCACGCGTGGGCAGCGTCGCCAGCTTAGACAGCGTGATTGTGCATTCTCTGTAGATTATTTTTGTTTGGTATTAAGTATTCTGTATAGCAGCTTAAAGGAACTTTATTTGATCTCCCAGCGCTTAGTCCTTCCCACCTCGAAGCTCACCTCTTCCTCCACCTCCCTTTGCAGGTGTGACGTTTCTGCAGGTACTTCATGGTGGCCGCCTGCCCACCACTGCTCCACCCGGCTCCTGAAACATGGGGGAAAACGAGGACGAGAAGCAGACCCAGGCCGGACAGGTGTTTGAGAACTTTGTCCAGGCTTCCACGTGCAAAGGCACCCTCCAGGCCTTCAACATCCTCACCCGCCACCTGGACCTAGACCCTCTGGACCACAGAAACTTTTACTCCAAGCTCAAGTCCAAAGTGACCACCTGGAAGGCCAAAGCCCTGTGGTACAAACTGGACAAGCGTGGGTCTCACAAAGAGTATAAGCGAGGGAAGCTGTGTACGAACACCAAGGTAAGGGGGCCACGTGGGGGCCTTTCTTCCCCTGGGCATGGGGGTGACGGGCGGCCAGGGCAGGGAGCTGGCCCCGTTCTGCCGTCATGAGATTTTCAGCAGGTGTGGGTGTGTGGCGGTGCCTTGCTCGGTTGAAGGTTTCCTTGGTCTGCAAGTGCGCACTGCTTATCCCGACTGGGAGTTTCCGTCTCATCGTGGTGGTTTTCGCAGCTCTTCCCGTGCCCTCTCCCCGGCGGAGGAAGTAAAGGCATGCTGGACATCATCCACTCTGTCACCTCCGCCGGTGGCTCCTACTCGCTGAGCGGATTCCGTGTGCCGGGCACTTACGTACGTGGCTCACTGAACACGCACAGTGGTCTTTTGGGCCATTTTAGAGACAGGGAAACTGAAAAGTCGATGATCTTGCCCAAGGTCACACAATCAGAAGGCAACCTTGGTCTGATTCCGGAGCTTAAGCCCTGAATTCTGTGGAGCGGCTTAATTAGAGAGTTGTGTTCCCGTGGGAGCCCACATTTGAGAAAGATGCCCTGACTTTAACTGGCTAAGAAATAGGTCTTTGGTCCTTACTGCCTTTTCCTCCTCAACCTCCACATTCTTCACCTCCCCACCTCCTTCCCCAGGAAGCATTTCTTTGCTCCGGACCCCGCCTGTGGTTAACCCTTCACAAGCCGATCACTGCCCCCCTTGCTCGGCCATCGGCAGTATCTGGGCCCGGGGGCCGATCAGCACATCCCAGCCGCTCGGCAGTGCTCGGCGCTGCCTGGACAGCCGGGAGTCCAGACTTCGTGGCTGGGCTTCGGGGGCTGTCTGCCCCGGGCACCGGGCCAGACTGGATGTTTAGGTTGAAAGTGAGCATGCTGTATTTAGACCTCACAGGAGATAGCTGAGCCAGAGCCCTTGGAATTCTAGTCAGTGCCAATCCCAGACAAGAGGATTGAACTCTCCATGGCGATCAGGACTGTTGTGTATTTGTTTTGGTGATGAGGAGTCATTGAGTCCACCGTGGGATATGGCTGCTTTCCCCTGCCCCTGGGGAGACAGCTGCCAAGCTCCTCTGAGGCTGGGGTGCACAGCTGTATGGGGCATGGGAAGGGCACTGCATCGGGGTGAAGCAGACCAGAGCACTTGAGCCTGCCGAGCAGTGCCTGCCCACAAGCTGCCAAGCTTCAGCCTCACACAGAGGAGATGAAAGTGTTACAGAAAGAGAGGGGGAGAAAGGAGTGGGGCCGGTGTCCTAGGTGCCAGCCCCACCCAGCACCTCCCTTCCTTGTTGTTGTAACTCCAGGGTTCATAGTTCACTGGGCAGTTCTTCAGACTTAGAGGCGGGGGAAGCTTTAGCTTTAAGAGCATTACTGATCTCGGTAATTGCATGTGGTGGCTTTCTTTTAAACAGGTGCCATAGCCCTAGCCAGGTGGCTCAGGTGGTTGGAGCATTGTCCCGTACACCAAAGGTTGTGGGTTCAATTCCTGGTCAGGGTGTACAACTAGGTTGTGGGTTCTATCCCTGGTCAGGGTACGTACAGGGATATCTCTCTCTCTCTCTCTCTCTCTCTCTCTCTCTCTCTCTCCCCTCCCATCCCCCCTCCCTCTCTTCCTCTCTCTAAAAACAAATAAAAACATATCCTCAGGTGAGGATTAAAAAGAAGGTACCAGAAGTCAGTGGCTGCACTACAATGTTTTCTTGGGGAAGGTTTTCAGGGGTCTTATTTGATCAGAAAATGCATCGCCCCTTCTAGCTGTTGGGGGCACTCTGTTGGCGATCTGAAGACAGACCTTCAGAGGGAATCACCAGCAGGGACGAGATGGAGAGCTGACCACTACGGAAATGTCCTTTCAGAAATCACTAGCCAGTCGCCTCGCCTGTCTGGCCAGCCCCTATTTTACAAGCTTTGAGGGCTTGAAATAGAAGACTCCTCACATCCTGTGGTCGGCAGGTCACCACTGGGGGCAGAGATACAAAGGGGGAGAACTAACGTGTTCAGCGAGTGATGCTGAGTAAGAGTGATTCCTGCCCAGTAATTTGTACGCTTTTCTTAGGAGGAGGAACAAAGATGTTTCAAATGCGTGGTAGCCTGTCTCATAAAAACCACCCCAAGAGCAGAAAATACGTTTGAAAATGCACTCTAAGCACGGTGGTGACTGTGTGAGGCCACTTTAGCTGCATATTTCAGAAACCCAACTCAAACCACCCTAAAGAAAACAGGGAAATCAGTACTTTGTATAAACAGGAAGGTCCAGACACTCACAGTCTGTTCCATTCCCTCTCCTTCCGTCTCTCCCTTGAAGGTTTTGCTCTGCTCTGGCTCCATCCCTCCATCTTGCGAGCAGATTTCCCCCCATGTTGGTAGCCTCTAGTTCATGTCTTTATAACGCTGTGACACAAAAGGCTAGAATCTTTTTCTTCCTGCTCGATATTGAAAAAAAAAAAAAAAATCTCTGGGCCAGTTATGGTGGCCAAAACAGGGGAGCTGGCTACCACCTTTGGCAGCCCTTTGAAGCATCACACGGTTGACGTAAGGGAGGAGCAGGTTCCCAAGGACATGAGGTGAGAGACAGATAAACAACAGGTGTCCTTCACAGTGACTGTTTATTTGCAGCCCGGTTATGAGAGTGGCCCCGTCCATACTAGATTCATGTGGATGGTTAGTGCTCGGCTCTGAGAGCCGGACACATGCACTCCTTGCTGTGAGCTGAGCAAATCGCAGAGCATGGTCCTCCTGCTCTTTCGACATGAACCGATAGGGTCTTGCTCACACCCCTCATTTAGGTATCCTTTGGTGTAGTCATGTATGCTGAGCATTAGCCAAACAAGAAATGCTAGGCATTAGCATGCATGTGGCTGATCATGAATGCTGAGCGTGGGGCCAGGTGTGTCAGGTCCCAGGCCTATAGCCAAGCTCCCGGTTAGCCATAGGGAGAGTGGGAATGTATGAAATTCTGCCCGAATCCCCACCCTGTGCAGATGTAGACGCATTTCAGCACCCTCTGGAGTGGATCTGGGCTTCAGCATTTCATAAGCATGTATTGGCTCCTACTATGTGCTAAGAACTATGCTACTCCCTTCATGCCCGCAGTGAGTGTGTGTGTGTGTGTGTGTGTGTGTGTGTATGTGTGCATGTGTTGGTGGTGATGATGGGGGGAGATTGGTTACCAGGAACAGTTTGAAGAAAAAGGTCTCTGGTGCACGTGCTAGGGGACAGGGAAAAGGACCTGCAAAGTCACAGTGGCTTAGATGCCGGTTGCGTAATCTAACTTGGGTTCATTATTTATTACTGATTATTACTTGTGAGGGTTTTGTCCTTCACTTAATAATTCTTTCCCTGGGTGGGATCTATTTGGATATGAACCAAGGGTCAGGCCAAATTCACTCTTTCAGGACCGCTGTTGGCTCTGTGTTAGGGTAGTACCAGGATCCAATGCCACGTCCCATGTATAATGTTCCTGTACAGCTCAGGAGGAAATGCAGTGTGTTATAGCATGGGAATTGCCATAACCACAAAGTCATGGAGTCTGGTTGTTTATTTCATATGTACCTTTAATTCTAGAAAGAGCTTGAGAGAATGCTGTGTGCAGTCTCTACAGTTGACAGGTAACAAACGGGGCCCAGCAAGCCAAAGCTATTTGTCTGAAGCTAGTGAGTGGCATTGACAGGACTTGGGCTCTGTTCATGGGCTTACTCATTTATTCTTTTGTTCATTTAATGATTATATATTTCCCTTGCCCTATACATTAGTTGGTATTTGACAGGGGAGATGGTTTGAAAGGTAAATAAGAAGTAGTTCTTACTTGAACGTTCTATAGAGGAGACAGAAATGTGATTATTTCTTTATTTATTTACTTAATCATTTATGAGGTGAATAATTGTTGAGCAGCTGCTATGTGCCAGGCACTTGTCTAGGTACCCATCAGCCACTTAATATCTCTGTGGCCCTGGGCAGGTTACTTAAATCTCTGATTCTCAGTAGTATTCTTTGTAAATGAAGTACTTTCTTCATGAAGTGACTGAAAATTAAAGAAGGTTATTTTTGTGAAGTGTTTAAAATGCTGTCTGGTACATAAGTGGTCAGTAAATGTTCAGCCACTATTACCATTTATAGCCTCAGTGCTGTGAGAGAGGCACATACCCTATTCTGCAGGAGCATGTGTGACTGGGGTAGGCTGGAAGTGCTTCCTAGAAGAGGACGTGTGCTTTGGGCCTTGACAGAGGCGTAGGAGTTCGCCTTGCATTGCTGAGGGAAGGGCTGGAGGGAACGCCAGGCAGAGATATAATCTAGGCAGAGAGTGCTGCTCATGACATGAGCATGAAAGAGCTTGTGGGGAGAGGTGAGGGGGAGAGCCGGTGAGAGCAGCATGGGGGGTGGCAGGAGGAGCCCAGAGAGAAGGGCCTCCTGGGGCCAGGCTGGGAAGACAGGGTCCTGCTGTCAAACAGAGGACACGGAGGACCACTGAGGGAGGATGAGCCGTGATTCCCAGTCCGGGGTTCTTTCCACAACCCTCCCTGGGGTGGCTCATTAATTACAGGTAACCAATTCAGGACAGAAGGCATTTGTACATTATTGCCATAAAAACATGGGTTCAGGAAATGAGTCATGGACTCTTTTGTCACCAGCTGAAACGGGGCTAGCCTGTACAACGAAGACTCTTTCGTTAACGTGTGAAAAGGGAATGTCTGTATTTTGTGAGCATCCAGCAGGGTCACCCCACACCTTTGGCTCCTGAACCTGACCCTGGCCCGTTTTGGCCTCTGCAGTGGCCCCTCAGTGAGGGGTAGCCCAGGCTGGGTAATGCATGCGGCCCGCTCATTATGTGGTTCTTGAGCTACGAGGGAAGAGGGAGGGACGAGGGAGGGACGAGGGAGCTAGGGTGGGAGATTGGGAGGGGTGAAGCCCGGAGCTGAAGGCCGCTATCGCCTGGCCCAGATAAGCCTATCTGACATTCCAGACCTCTGAAATCACCCACCACAGCCCCCAGAGCCAGGCTCTGCTGCACCCACTGGGCCA